GTCATCTCCTCCTAACCCTAACCCTAATGTGCACAACCGCCACTCAAGTTCACCAGCCGCCATCACCCGGTTTTCTCTCATGTATTCCGATCAAATGGAGCTCCGACGACCGCCGCCTGCTGCCTCGCCATCGAGATGCCGTCACACCTTGCTGCCGGACACCATGCACGAACGAAGAAAACACCGAGAGCGACTTCAGTGCGGCGTAATAGCGTTCTCAGATGTCCCTTTTCCTATTTCTTCTCCTGCTCCGCCTTCAGCCAATGTCGCCGATGTCGCTAGGGTCATCGACGCCGCTGTTGCTGTTGTCGTTAGGGCCGCTGCTGTCGCCGTTGGTGCTGCGGCTGCTGTCACCGTGCACCATCGGGGGTGGCTGCGTCCAGATTCCGAGCAAAGACTTGGTGGGGTGTGTTGCTGCTTGACGGGGAACCGAAAGAAGCCACCGCCACCAGCGAGAGGTGGTGGCTGCCGTCCTAAAACCATTGCTGACGCCGCCGTGGGCCACCAGGTGGGTGGCTGGAGTGTATATTGTCACATGAAGTGTATGTATATGTGTTTTGCTGGCCGGAAAATGAAGAAGAAAACCACTATGGCCGCCAGCCATGGTGGCTGCCACCAGGTGCCACCGCCGGCCACCACAAGGATGGCTGTGTGTGTGTGTGTGTGTTTAGCATTATTGTGTGTGTTATTTTGGAGATTAGCATTGTAAAATGTAATTAGAAATGTTAATAATGAAAAGAAACTCTAACCACCACCGTGAGGTGGTGGCTGCCGCCTCCTGCCGCCATCGGTCGCCGTATCGGGTGGCGGTGTGCCTCGTTTGTATTGTGACTCGTTTGGGATGTTTGGGCAAAGGGACTGAAACCGTAATGGGACCAATGAAGCCCTAATTGACCTAAAATCCCACACATGTGACTAATGGGCCTAATGAACCTTAATTGATCAAAAGACCTGGCTATTGGGCCTATTGGGCTAAGATGGGATTGGAAACCCTAATGAGGGTTTAGAAAACCCTAATATTGGATTTATGAGCCTTGGACTTATCGGAACCCACATTTGGGTCATTGGAATGAGATTGTAAATTACACCTAATCACCATATGAATTATCTAGTAAAGTGCTGGACTTAATGGATTAAGTCCTTAATGAGTTAAGTGAGAAACACTTAACCCTAATCGTCATTTCATATGGAAACCCTAATCGTGATTTCATGTGGAATCTCTAATTTCACTTGGGCCTTAAGTTGGGCCTTTCTATTGGATTTTGGTGATTGGACTATTAAAGGGCTTTCCAAGAATAAGTAAATGGACTAAATAATCGTATGGGTTTTATGATAAGGCCCATGTGAGAGTCTTGGGCCCAATTTGGAAAATTGGGCCATAGATGGGCCATAATTGGGCCTTTATGATTATGTGATATTGGGCCGTGGGAATACCAAGAGTTTGGACTGGAATAATTGAATGGGCCTTAAGGAAAGACCATGTAGGGGTCTGGGCCCAATTTGGAAAATTAGGTCATATGTTGGGCTTTGGCCCATTACTTGACTTTTGGGTCTTTGGAGTGTGAGTTGGACCTTGGGCTTGGAACCCAATTATTAATTGGGTATTGTTTGATATTGACAGTTTGGGAATCTGTCAACTAGCAGCTGGAGTTTTATCTGTGGGACTTCAGCAGTGCCAGGTGAGTTTTTCCTCACTATACTCAAGGGTCTAAGGCACCAAGGCCGGCCTTTTTTGGATTGTTATCCTGATATGTTATGCTAGTATGATCTGTTAGATCGGTATCCTGGTAGATGGGATGTTATATGCTGTTATGATCCGTTAGATCAGTATCCTTGTAGATGGGATGTTATATGCTGTTATGATCCGTTAGATCAGTAACTTGGTAGATGGGATGTTATATGTTGTTATGATCCGTTAGATCAGTATCCTGGTAGATGGGATGTTATATGCTGTTATGATCCGTTAGATCAGTATCTTGGTAGATAGGATGTTATATGTTGCTATGATCCGTTAGATCAGTATCATGGTAGATAGGATGTTGCTATGCTGTTATGATCTGTTAGATCGGTTTGTCTGTCTATACACTGTTATGTAATTATCTGTTATATGTGTACATGTTTGTTTGGCGGTTGAGGCTTATCTGCTTTGTGCGAAAGCCAATAGACCTAGGCATTCCAACCTGTTGGTTGTGGGCCGTGAGTATTCCATCCCGAGGATCATTGGACTCATAGTATGTGGGCATTCCAACCTGTTGGTTGTGGGCCTGGGGTATTCCATCCCGAGGATGATTGGACCTGTAATACGTCGGCATACCAACCGGATGGTTGAGGGCCTGGGGTATTCCAACCCGATGGTTGACTAGACCCATAGTATGCTGTTTGTGATTATATGTGTATTTTTGTGTGTATGAGTATTTTGGGGGAACTCACTAAGCTTTGTGCTTACGGTTTCAGTTTATTGTTTCAGGTGCTTCAGATGACTCGGCAAGGCGAAGGCGTGACCGTACACATCCTCGTGTTTTGGACTTATGGTTTATGGGATACTCTGATATTAAACTATTTTGAAAACATTTTGTAATAACTAATGGCTTTTGGATGATTGAAAAAGTTTTAAATTGGATTGATTTTTATGGATGTTACAAAAGGTATGTAATCCTAAAACCCTCTCTTCTAAATTTCGAAAAATATCCTAGGGTTTCCAGGTTTCTTTTTGATGTTCTTAGTTATAGGTTCAATAGAGAAAACATAGATCTTATTTAGGTTGCATGCAAACTTAAGGTTTTAATTTTGTTTGTTTACCTAAATCCCATCACAAAGAACGAAGAACAAATTATGATCTTGTGTGTACTAGTGTAAAAACAAGAATGACCAATTAACATGGAAATAACATCCTGTCTAAAAACTGCCAAATTAGTAGTTATAAGAAATAACTCTGTCTGAAAACCGACATAAAACTGTCACTAAACTCCTTTAAATTCGGGTCTAGAACTAGGGTAAAAAACAGGTCAATTTTCTCAAATTCATATTTCAACCCCAGGGGCTCTGCCCCTTGGACCCCACCAGGGGTATCCACCCCTTGGACCTCGTTACCAGGGGCAGCGCCCCCGGACCCTTGTTGGTTCAGGGCCTTACCCCTTAATGACAATGTACTTTGAGTATTGAATAAACTTAAAAAGTACACATTTCACACCACCCTTACTTGTTGAGTGTATATCAATATTGCATTGGTCAACAAATTAATGCATTACATTTAAATAAAATTAATGATATAAATCACCAACACCATAGAGACATGGATAAAATGATGCATCAATCTTAACAAAAATGAATGAAAAAACTATTGATCATCGACTCATCGCTAACTTTGTGAATTCCAAACACCATCAATCACCATCGTTAATCCTTCCATTGAGTGTGAATAGGATCAACGATAAAAACCATAAATAATAATTGGAATCCCATTTGTAAATCTTCATCCTCGTCCATGACTGGAAAAAACTAATGGCTAGCTATTGCCGTTATCACAAGAGAGAAAAAAACCATAAATAATAATTGGAAATTGGAATTACATTTGTAAATCTTCATCCTCGTCCATGACTGGAAAAAACTAAGGCCCTTCTTTTTAAGTTCCTCCCATATACATGGCTTACATACGTGGCTCAACATTCTTGGAAAACAATCGAATCAAGGGTCCGGAGGAGAATTGGTCATTCAATCTTGTGAACTAATCGAGACCGAAATTGGAGAAAGAGATACGAACGGAAAGGAATAACCAATCGATGAAAGAACATCGCTATTGCCGTTATCACAAGAGAGAAAACATATGCAATTTTTGTTAATGTATTTGTTAAATCATCGAGTTGCAAAAGCATAAGGTTCAATATTTGGGTAATGGGTTTAAAACGATTTCTAAGTTGACATGAAAAGATTGTTGTACACTTGTATGGATCGTAATGGATATGATCCAAAAAAAAATGTCTAACTTTTTTGTTTCTTTATTGATATTATCTTATTATATATGATCATGAAAAAATGTATTAGTATAAGGTAATCTTCTTTAAAGAGTAAAATGAGTAGGAAATTAGAAGGTTGTATACATTGGAAATACACTGTGAACAATGTTGGACTCCTTTCGGCTCGTTTTTCTTTGGGCTAAATTCTTTTAATTTTACATCTAATCTATTAGAGATAACAAATTACATAAACTAACCAATTTATAAGCAAATAGTTAAAAGTTGTCATATCTACATCAATTTTTTTGTGAGGATTGAGATGATCTTCTACGAAGAACTATTTAGAGAAAGAATAATTGGTTAACATTACTTGCATCATGTGTGTGAAGGTGATATTTCGCAAAACTGACTAGGCCTAAAGCCTAGGTCTGTTTTTTTTTTTTTTTTTTTTTTTTTTTTTTTTTTTTTTTTTTTTTCTGGGACTGGTCTTAGGCTGGTCCGGTCTCGGGTTTTTTCGGACCGGTCTGAGACCGGTATTTTTGTTCATAGACATGACCTAAGCTAGACGACTATCACTTGGCACTTGGATCTTAAATTGGGCTAACTGTGAAAATTAGAGCTGGACACTCAGAAGAGTCTCGGGCCGAAGCCCACTTCATGATCAAGAAATACGTGTTTCACGTTAAATTTAAATAATCATTTTAAAATTGGAAATACATCTTTTTATATTTACATTTAAAACCCAGCTTTCTTTAGCTCTTAAATAAGTTGTAGCAAACAATATAAAATTGAAAATTCTTAGAAATTCCAAACACCCGATGGACATCATTTTAAAGTTCCTTAAAAAGAACACTACGCAAGAATATGAACATAAGGAGTTTTTCACAAATGGTTTTTTAAAAAGATTTGGAAAAATGTTTATACGATATATGTAACAAATCTTCTTTATTAGAGAGAATCTTTCAGAAAGTCATTAAAGGTGATCAATCTTGGAGTGACATATATATTATATATATAATAGCAAAAGAAGCCAAACGCATCTCGTTGATGCTGGAGCTTGCTGCCATGGAATCAAGGGACAGGTCAAAAGCTGGTACAGTTTCACAAAAACCCACACATATACATATGTATGTGTCAGACTAAACATACGTATACATAGTTACATACATATACATATATATATGAATCTGCTCATGTTCACTTCTTGATGCATATGTGCTTGCTTGCTACACATCACCAGATATAATATGAGATCTACAAGCCTCCTCTCTTTGCTGTTCCTCATCCTCATCTTATCTCATGTGAATCTTGATGCCAAACCGGACAAGGGATCTATGAACTCTGTCCATTTGGTTAGATCATCGTCACCACCACCATCATCATAAACATCTCTCTTTATATATATGCATACATCCAAACATATATATTAACATGCTTTGTGTTGTATTGATCAGATTAATGAGGAGTCATGTGGGAAGACGATGAAGGGTCATCAGCAAGGCAGTGAAAATAAGTCAGACAAGGGCGGTTTTGAGGATGAGGACTACATCTATACTCAATCAGTCCCTTAGATTGATCATAGGCAGCCAATGCAAATTACCTTCCTATTATCTATCTCTTCGACTTATTTTGAACCATGATCTTATGAATGATTGTAACTATATGTTGTAGATTCATGAATTTAAAAGTTCTATGTAACAAATCTTTTTTGAGCACAAATTATAGTGATAAATGTTAAATTTGAGGTATTGAAGATTGGGTTTAAAATGTACTAGCTACTTGATGATCACAATCGGAGGCATGATGGGGGAGAACATATTCATTTCCCCTGCTAGTGCCTGTAGTCAAGCCTAGGACGGGCTAGCTAGCACGTAGATGTGTTCGTTCCCTTGTAAATTTTATAATCAGGCTAAAGGGAGCGGTGTAATGTATGTTGCATTGCTGCGTCATTATTATGCATATCACATGAGCTTTGTCACACTACATGTTCAATTTGCCATTTAGAGGTGATGGGTTGTCATATAATTTTTTGAATTACGGTAAGAAATATGAGAACAAATACTTTATTTTCACTCATCTACAAGGAATTGTCGAGCTCTTGCCATGCCATGGTCAAGGGGAAGTGTTCCCATAGCATGTCATGGTCCACATCAACATGCCGAGGAGTGGCACCAAGCCACTCCACTAGCCTTAGTAAAAGTCTAAAAAAGTTAAACTTTATTTGAGATACCTGGTAATTGAAAAACTAATTGATAAATAATAACGTTGATAAAAAATTAGTTGATAAACTAGATGAACAAATGTAAAATGGCATAAAAGATTAACGTATTTTACCTACCATTCTAAGGCATCCCTAATGGTCGTATAATCTCTAAGGTGTGTGTAATGTATTACCATGAACCCCCATAATCGACGCTGTTTGACTAGTGATTTCCCAGCCACGACGCTTTATCGGACGTCGAATAGTGATTAATAAGAAAGTTATCCTGCCAGGATTGTAACTAGTAATCGCAAGTAGGGGTGTCAATCCCCGTATAGATCTATACATGTCTTTCTAGCTCTCGCAAGATTAACGATTATAGGTATCGGGGTAGCCGAATTTAATCAGGTTAAGGATGAATATTAACAGTTCACTAACGCATTAATCTTAGGTATTTTATCTTTTATCTTTTATCTTTTATCTTTTATCTTAGTGATTTCCTATGATTATCATAATATAAACCCCTTTAATATATATATATATATATATATATATATATATATATATATATATATATATATATATATATATATATATATATTATCTTGTGATACATATCTACATACCCTAATTATGGTTATTTTGAAAACAAGATATTTGGGCAGAGTAACGATTAGGTACGGTGCATATCCCTAAATTTGACCAGTATTACTCCTTAGTACTATGTTATCCTAGGGATTTGGCCATTATAACCTCTAGGTATTATCTCTTCCTATACTATCGGACATCATAACTCTTAGGCATAATATCATAGCTTACAACTAAGTATAATATCTATAGCTATATTATCCTAAGGTTTTAAGCTTTATAAAATGATTGATATTTATGGATATAAATATAATTTGATAAAGCATTTTGATAAGCATGTATCCCCCCACCCCCGGTAAAACATTTAAAATAGTGAAATAGTGGACGTGAACTCTCCCTAGTCGCGTGAGACCGTTGGTGTAGGGTTGAATCAGGCGCGGGACTCCGGGGACCGCTCCTAAGAGTAGCAACTTCGAGATAAAGAGAGAGTAAGTTGTAGAAGGTGTGAGAATGAGCTCTACACTACCCTCTATTTATAGTCATGGATTTGGGGTGCACGCGATGCAAATATCTGTGCGCGTCGTACATGATCATCGTGGCTCCATCTAGAGAATTCCACATGTCACTTGCCATATTGGCCATGTCACTCGCAATCTGCTCGAATCCGGTGTCAGGTGCGCGATGGGATTAGATGCGCACCTCGCGTGCACGAAAAGATTTTGCAAATATCATAACTTTTCCGTGCGATCTCCGATCTAAGCCTTCTTTATATCTATGTGATGATCTCAATGGGTACGACAACTCTGCTTTAGGTTGTTTTAGCTAGTTTTGACTTTTATTTTTGTGACTAACGGGGATAAAATTAAATGATTTTACAAAAATCATCTCTCTCATACGGATCCGTTTTTGGCACTCTTGGTCCTAAAGTTTATATCTTAAGGAGTACAACGAATCTCATTTTTGCACTTTTAGTCAAAATTCAACCAATCTCTAAGTACCGGTTTTAAGTAATTACTTTTAATTACACATTTTATTTCTATTTTTATAAAATCCATAACTCTTTCCTTTGGAGTCGGATTTTTACAAATCTTATATCCTTGAGATTACGTTTACGAGTACTTTCCAAGTACGTTAACCAACTTAGAAAATGGTACAACTTTTTAGACACTAATTTTTTTGCCTGATAGTCGTTTTAACCAATAAATGTAATGGCACATTTGATTTCTATTATCTCTAGAATCAAATATTACAATACTAAGCTATTACATCTATTTTTCCTACTCTTTCCTAATGGAGATCAGTGACGGAAACCTCCCGGTTGTCACATAATGTGAGTTTTCTCACTATACTTTGTACTGCAGTATGTATCATTATGTGTAAGATGTTGTTATGTTGTAGTGATCTGTTATTTTGGTAGATCTATTATGATTACCTGTGTTTTCTGGTGATTGTTTGTTTGTTTGCATATGTCGACATATTTTGGTTGGGTTGAGGCGGTCATGCTCTATGCTGTAGGCCAAGATACCCGGGTGGTCCAGTTGATACTGTAGGCCCAAGAAGAGTGGTTCAGCCCTATGATGTAGGTATTTTGAGGAACTCACTAAGCTTTGACTTATAGTTATGGATTTAAATGTTTCAGGTACTTCAGATGATCGAGGGAAAGAAAAGGCGTGATTATACACATCATCCTGTGGATTTATGTTGAGAGATGTTATTTGATACTCTCATTGTATGATTATGTTTTGAAACAATGAATTGAATGACTTATGGTTTTTATGAAAATGTCTTTTGAAAATGAAAAATTTTGTTATGGTTTTTGGGACGTTACAAACAAACACTACGAATGGATCGTCTAGTCATCTCTAAAGAACTAGTTACAAGAAAGGTAATACTAAGGGATGACATATTTGTAAGATAAAAGGAGGAGGTTCTTAAAGAATCCGATGAGCTTAAATTATTTAAAGAAGTTTTTTTCTTATTGAATGATGTATGCATCAATACTTTCTTACAATTATACTTTGTAATCTCAATTACTTTTCGATCAATGAAGCTCAAGAAAACTAAAAAGTCCAAAACATTTAAAAAAAACATAAAAGGACAAAAACATCTCTAAAACAAACATATTTATTTATTTGTTCGTTATTAATTTTATGTGTTGTGTCATCATCAAATATGTGGAGTTTATTAGTTCCAAAATATGATTAATGATTCAATTATAAGAAATTGTAATAACTCTCCATATTTTATACATCAGTAACTTATAAATCCTACAAGATCTATGAAAATAGCATATCTTGAGACAAGCCAAATTTAGGACTTAGTGCTTAAAAGTTTGCTAACTACTTTAGAAGATAACATAGTTTTATATAGAATATGAACAAGTTATTGTTACTCAAAACTACAAAGTTTTATGCATTGAATAATAGAACAACACAAACTATGATAATCAAACAACACAACAAGCTTATCCATATGATCTGAAATAGTTCATTGTAAGCCAAGAACTGAGACATATTCTACGCATTAAAGATAAGATGTACAGAAAATTTGTTGACCAAATAAGAATCCCTTAAGTATAAAGAGAAGACAACATATCACCAACAAAATATAAAGATGGTTGATCCGTATTGTGTAAGTCAAAAACTGACTCAGTGTCCTTAATTCTTTATCCTTCAATGAGTCACAAATTATTGTATATCTAAAACTATGTCTAGATTCAAAGCAACACTAGTGTATGAAATTGCATTTAATGCTTAACATCTTACACACGATCTATTGTGGACAAAGAGCATGACTGAATAGTAAAAGTCTACAAAACACTTGATTGTTTACACTTGATTGTTTTCAATGTAATTTATATTCTTTTTCAACAAAAGACAAAAGTGTTTTTACTAACCCTAAAGTGTTTTTCACCAAATGGGTATGGCTATATAATTATATCCTTAATGTTTAACATCTTTTCTCATCTATAAATAGTCAATCAACTTGTATGTTCGAGTATCAATGTATTTTATTTGTTTTTGAGAACGCGTTTCGCAAAATGTATGTTCAATTATTAGTAGGGGTGACAATTGATGAAACAACACGACAAAAATACATGACACAAAATGAAATCGAGACAAAACCGAAATTTGAATTCGTGTTCGTGTCAAATGTAAAAAACACGACATGTTCAAAATTCTACACGAAGTTGACATGATTTAGCATTTGTTTGTCATGTTTTTCGTGTTTGTCGTGTTATGTATGATCAAGTATTAATTAAATAAACTAATTGTTATTTTATGTTATCTTTGTCGTGGCGTGTTTGTTGTTTTTTAATTTGTTTGTTTTCATGTAAGTTAAAAAAACACGATATCGTGTCATGTCGTGTCAGACAAAAACCCGATATGATTGTCTGATTTGTCACCCCTATTTTTTAACACTATTGTTTTAGATAATGTTACATCATCTTAGCGAAGATCTAGCCTAGATCAGATTAAAGTTAATCTCTCGCGTGTAACAAGAGAGGTTTACGGTTTGCATCTTGTAAACTAATTTTGTTTTTCAATATTCGTCCGGAAAACCTACATAAAGATTATACCTTGTTATTACTACTTTATTTAGTTTCTTGTCTTTATGTGTTAAGTAAAGGTTTTGAAAAGCCCAATACTTATATTCAAACATTCCTTTCTACGAGTATCTAATGTGTATTTAGAACCTAATATGTAAATATTTATCTTTAACCATATGGGTTGTGTGATTTGTTTGATAAAACAGAAATATATAGATATATAAAATTAATAAAATCATAGTACAATACTAAGGTTGTGAGAAGTTATTAATAAATAGATGTTGTAAAGCATAAGTCAATGAATATGTATAGTTTTGGATGTTATCATTTGCTAAATTTAAGCTATCTATAAAACTTTATGATTTCACATGTTGTTAG